CAAGAAAATGCACGGGAAACCTGGTATCAGAATTTGCCCTATATGATGTTTATATAAATTCCAAAACCAGAACAAAAGTAAAGCGTTACGTAAATTATGTAAAATTGTAAGGAGCAGGGAGGTGGCTTTTACAGGGTTCCGCTGGGGAAGCGGGGTGTGATCAGGAGGGTGGAAGAAACTGCTGGGCTGCACTTGGCAGCAGACAGCTTCAGCAAGTGCCGAGTGAGTGGCCGAGGTGTGGATGCTGAGGGCCTGGGCAAGCAGAAATCTCTGTCCTTGTCTAGCAGCTGCAATGTCAAGTGATGTGACCACCAGGCGTTCAGCGGCAGGTCACGCTGTTCTGTTGAGCGGTTGTCTAGGACACATGCACAACAGTGCAACACACACACACACACACACACACACACACACACACACACACACACACACACACACGAGGGCAGAGGGAGGGAGAACACTCCTGGAGTTATTCAGAATAAAACAAGAGCCACCTGCAGGCCCAAGTCAGTCTAGAAGACGGTCTCACAGGCAGTATGAGGCTGACACTCCTGCTTCTGATCAGAGTGCTGCAGGGTGGCATGAGCTGAGGTCATGTCCAGAAGAGCCCAGGTTGGAGCCTGGGGACCACAGCTTTTAGGCGAGACTGCAGGGCCATTGGAACAATCACCTGCCTTGAGCATGAGCTAGTGAGGATGTGGACTGGACTCCAGCTGACCTCCTGCCTCAGGTGGGGGTGGCCACAGCTGACCACCTACCTCAGTGGCGAACACCCATGGATGACCTCCTGCTTCAGGAGCGGGTACCCCCGGCTGACCACCTGCCTCAGAGGCGGGCACCCCTAGCAACCACCTGCTATGGTCAGGCACTCCCTAACTGTGGCAGAATCAATTTCGTCATCCTGAAAGCTCCCGAGGCCTGACGTCCTGTCTCCTGCCCTGTGATTTCCACAAAGCATGGGGGTGAGTGAAATGAAGTAAACCCTGCGTGGGCGGCCAAGCACAACGGTCCACACACTGGGGCTCTCGGGACAGGGCTGGCGACGTCATCTTCTGCTCCAGCCTCAAGGTGCTGGCTGGCTAGTTCTAGCTAGACAGACTGTCCACCCCAGCAGCTGTTACATTCTGTTCCTGGGAGCTGGAGGTACAGAAACTTCTTTTGGTAGGTGCCAGGGTGCTAATTACTGTCATCCATGGCGGGTGGTGGCAGTCATGCTGAGGGAGGGGACCTTCTCAGGTGCAGCCCTTGCCAGAGAGTTGCTGACAAGATGACCATGGAGAGCTCAGGGCCTGTTGCATCCGTCAGGATAAAGCATCACCCCCTGCCTCCCCTTAGACTGTGGTCATTCACCCTCCAGAGCCCGACGGAAGAGTCCTGCATGAAGAAGGCAGCCCAGCTGGGCTCCAGGGCATCGCTGTCACTGTCCACACATAGAGCTGCCTCCCTTGGCTGAGAGGGTTAAACCAGGGCCACATATCAGGAAAGGATCAGGAGAATACAGGGGCAACAGGCAGCGATGTGGAGAGCCCAGCCCGTCAAGGCAAAAGCTTCGGAAGAACCACAGACTTCCTGGTGGCTGGCCATATCACCTGACTAACACATCTGTAAAAACCAGAAAGAACCCAGGGAGCTACCACCCTGGAAGCCACACTGCAGTCACTCCGGAGTGTCATTCCCTGAGTCTCTGTGACCACTGATCATTGGAGGCCATCCTGCAGCCAAGAGTGCCACTGGAGCCCCCTGGAAAGTGCTGTGAATGCCACAAGCCCACAGACCATTGTTCAAGCAACCTCAGGGACCCACCTGTTGGCTGAAGGCTGTGGGAGGATCTGCAAACAGAGCAGGGGGGCACTGGGGCAAGGACACTGGAGGATGACCCCAAGGGGTGACCTGTAGGCAGGGACAACTGGGGCCCAGGAACCAGGATGCAGCATTTAGCCCCATCTGTGGTATCAGATGCTTGCATCCCAATACAGCATCCAAGAGAAGAGGACCTACACGAAGGGGAAGCATCGCTCAGAATGCACACATGCACACACACATGCATACATGCACGGTGTGCCCCACAAGAGACACACACACATGCCTCCACATGCCCCACAATGCACACACATTTCTATACACTCACTCCTCTGCCAAAGGACACACCCCGAGCTTCCAAAAGTTCAGATGTCTGTTCCTGTGGGGATCTCCCAATTGCATGAGGAACATAGGCAAACCAGGGTCTTACCTCACCCCTCCTTTCTGAGCTCCAGAAATGTATGCACAAGGAGGACGTGGGCCTCACAAAAGCAGGGGTGTATAGTTTCAAAGAACTATGTGAAGTTGGAGAGGTATGGAGATGAGACACACTTCTAAGTGCCCTAAATCCCCTTCCCACAACCAGCCTTGAAGCCCATGACTGCCAAGACCCTGTAGAAGGTCCTCAGATACTCTGAGTGCTGTCACATGACCCAGCTCCCCTCATCTGACACAAAGCACACAGGCTTTCTTCAAAAGTTTTGAGGCCCCATGGACAGAGAAGTGCCAGCCCCTCCACAGGCCTCTGTCATGGAGTCTCTAGGCATTAATAAGTTCCCCCGAATAGGCTGAAAACACACATAGGCTCTGCTGTTCAAAGCACAGCCTGAGCACTGGGGGTTCCAAAGGAATCCAGCAGTCTGAAAGGTTTGAGAAACAGTTTCATGCGGGGTCTGAAGGGTGATCATAACCAGCACCTGCTGACGACACCTGGCTCCCCTGTGAAGTATGATTCTAGTGCTGGCCCCCCTGCCCACCCCACTGGGATTCCCACTGAGACATCACTCTGAGGAAAACCCAGAGTAGGCAGCCCTGCTGTGTGTCCTTCATGTCACCAGACTGCATGTTCCCAAGCTTTGGGGGCGCCGTAGTTGCAGGGCATTGGGAGATAATGGTGGTAGGAACGAAACCGGACTGTAATACACCAGAATCCAGCTTTCAGGCAGGTGGGCCCTTTGCCCCAGGCAGGGCAGTCATTGCACAGAGCGGGGACGCTGGGGCCTGGGATGCTCTGAGCAGGAGCTGTAGGGTTATGCAGGAGGAAATGGAGCAGTGTTGGAGCAGCCTACGTGGGCTGGGGCCCAGAACCACCAGCCAAAGTATCTGGGGTGACTGTTCACAGCCTCCTAAACCCAGCTGGATGGGGACCTACTGCAATCTCAGCTAGCCAGAGCAATAATTTGGACAAAAAAAAAAAAAAAGATGAGATGTGGTTGCACAGGGAACCACACCTGCACCCACAAAGCCTTGCAGGAGTAGACACCATGGCCAGGCCCCGAGCCAGGCAGCCCTTTTCCTATGCTGTGTGGGGTGGGGCCTAATGTCCTCAACTCTCCTGGATTGAAGTACTACTGAGAGAAGACTGCCCTCAGTCCCAAGCCCTGTGGTCTCCTACCACCTGAGCAAGGTCTGTGACCTGTTTACTGCTCTTGCCCACAAGCCAGGCTGGGTCTCAGGCTCATTCTTAGCAATGGTTCTGAAGAAGAGACCACCTCTCTCTCTCAGGTGCCACGGGTAAGGCCACACACTTAACCACAGTAACACCCAGGGTTTAAGAGGTCCAAGAGAGGATTGGCTGCAGAGACGGCTGAACACGTCCAGTCTATCTACTGGGAGGGGCGAGTAGGACCCAGACAGCTAATTCTTCCATGACCTTCCTTGAGGCTGACAAAACCAGAAAGAGCAGCAGGTCAGAACCCTGGCTTAGTCTAAGGCCACATGCTTGTGAATGGTGGGCCATGTCCAAGGACAGGGGAGCAGTCACACAGCAGGGCAGACACGGACGTTGTGCCTCCAAAGACTTTCATCCCATGGCTGCTATGTGCACACATTATGCCCCATACATGGGCATAAGCATACATGCATACCCTAACAAAGGCAAACACACATACCAACATTCATGGACACACACACACACACAAACGCATACACACCTATATGGGCACACAAACACACATGCCTGTCTGCCTTAGCATGCATAGTATGCACTCAAGCACACCCATGGAGACACACACATACAGATGTGCATTCTTCTAGAAGATATGTGAATTCAGACAATTGGAGTTGACTGATAAGCTCAAACAGTAGACAACCACAGCGAGGCCACAATCCCTGTGCTTGAGAGACCTGAAGTGGTTTTGGCACACTCGCAGCCAGGAACCTGGAAGTCACTCTTTTCTGACCAAGGCCTTCAGCCCTGTCAACCATGGGAGCTGGTGGTGGCGAGGTCCTAGGGGTGGCGGTGGACAGCTCTGCTCAGCACCCACCTGGACCACAGTGGTGCAGCGCTCAGGCCCTCCTGGACTACCACGTGCCCCTGAGCTCCTGGGATGTGTGATGATCTCAGCGCGCACAGTCCCCAACCCACGCCACCTGCTCCTGAGCTTTTGTCTGCAGTGACTCATGGCAATGAATGGAACATTCCACTGACTGTGGGGGCAGCCTGGTGGGAGCTCTCATCTCACACTCGAGGTTCTTGGAACAATCGGGCTGGGCTGCTCTGGCCCCAGAACAGGGACTGATAAGGGGGAGGGAGTCCCAGGGCCCTGGGGGCTGTCTCCAGATGCAGAGAGCTGGACAAGCCCCCAGCCTGAGCAGAACAGGAGACCGGTGCTAATCTCCAGTCTACCCAGAGCAGCCCAGTGTGCAGGGTGTGGGCAGACAAGGAGGGTCCCCAAGAGCCCATGGACAAGTACAGAGGTGACCAGCAGTAAAGGGGGGACCAGCCCTTCCCCCAGGACATGGTGCACTGGGAGGAAAGACACCAGGGTCCCCTCGAAAGGCCCCACCCAATCCAAACACCTGACCCGGAGGAGGAAGAGGAGAACGGCACCTAGTCTCTAGCACAGAACTAGGTTATTTAGGGATCCTACCAAGCTGAGAATCTCTCAGGCAGCTGCCTATGCTCTGAATGGAGTTGGGGCAATATGCCCAATGAATTGGATTAATTACTCAAAAGCCAGAGAAATTTTGCTTCTGCCAGGAAAACCACTTTCCTCTTTAATACAACTCACAGCCCTCCCTGCCAGCCTCCCTCAAATTAGACCGCAGCTGCAAACGAAACCCAAAATACAACACCCAGGCAAGGGACAGGGGCACGGTACTGCCCCTGTACTGCCCTGTTCCCCCACCAAGCTGACAACTAAACTCTCGGGAAAAAGTCAGGGAAGAGGCTGTCTGCTTCATCCTGCAGGGCCAGGCCAGGGCTGCCAAAATCCAAGCCCCACAGCTCTACGGGGCTAGGCTGGAGCTCCGGGGAGCTGGGCTCAGGGTCCCCCATGAAGCTTGGTTCTGCCCTGTCCATAGGGCTGCTCGTGGCCAGGGCCGAACCTCCTCTGCCCTCCACCGACCCTGGAAGAAAAGGGAACGTCAGAATGGCAGGCATGCACCCCAGACACTAGCAGCAGGCTGGTCCCAGCATAGGGGCTCCCAGGCTGCCACCACCTGGTGGTCCGTTCTGCAAGCCCTCTGCCCCTCTGTGAACCTGTCTGTCTCCTCCCAGGGAGGTGGGATGAGCCCAACCCTGGTAATCCTACTCTCGCACTTAGGAGATCTACTCATGGCAGAACCACTCATGGCTGTGTTCCCTCAACACTGGACCCTAAGGGCAGTGAGTACATACAACATATGCCTTGTCTACCAGATAGATGTCCTGGTGGCCCAGTGAAGCTGACCTGGGAACATGACTGAAAACATCCAGGACTCCACACAGCCATTTCCACATGTGCCCATGCGGTCACACATGTCACACTTTACCTCTGTCCCTGCCAGTCATCCTGACCATCACCAGACAAGGAGGGGGAGACGACCTGGGGACCTTGGGTCAGAGAGCAAGCTGGGCCTGGGCACAGTCTCCCTGGTCCTGTCAGGTTGGACACAGGCCCCAGAGCCAGGGCCGGTGTGGGGAAAGGCAGCCTGGGCTCAGAGCCCCACTCACCCAACCACCAATCAGGATTGGTGGTCAGCAGAAAGGATGTTCCATCCACGTCGGACCCTGTCCCTGTGGTGTATCTGGAGATGAGGAGAGTCCTTAGTGGCTACAAGTGCACCTAAGCAACAGAAACTCAACAGAAACCAATCCCAACCTTGCAAAGGCACTTGAGACTCCACAGAGGCTCAGCCTGCCAGGACCAAGTGTAGAAAGAAACCACAGCCTCAGGGTGCAGGCCCGAGCCACAGGGCTCTGCTGAACAGAGATCTGTGCTGGCTTCTCCAGCCACGGCCTCATCCCTCCCTCTGCCTCCCACATCCCAGCTGGTGTGTGCTCCCCAAACACAAATTTATTTCACCATCAGCCCAAACAAAAGACAATTAGGAGACAAAAATGTTTTAGAAACACATTATCAGAAAGCCACATGGCAAGTCTGGCTTGGGCCTGTTGCCTGGGCCTCCTCTCAATGTGGGGTAGAAGTCAGGACCAGAATTTTCCAGAAGCGGAGAAAGGCACAGACTAGTGCTGGGCTGAAGGCAGGCAAGTGACGGCTGTCACAGACAGACAGACACGCACACATGCACCCACCTGGCATCAGGCACAGATGTCAGGACCAAGTTGGCCTCCTCAGCCAGCATGCCCGGAGATTCAGTGTCCCTGGCCAGGGATCCCACGGGGTGCAACCCACCAGAAATGATGTCGCTCGTCTGGGGGGTGGCTAACTGCCATGAGTGAGGAAGCCAGGGTGAGAGCCCGGGACTCAAGCTGGAAGGCTCTGAATGGGAAGAAGAAAGGTTAGCTCTCACGGTTTAGGCCAGGCTACTGGCGTACGGTGTGTACATGTGAAAGCCAGAAGCACTAAAAACAACAGGGACTCAAGCCAGTCCTCCACGACTCAAGTCCAAAACCAGGTGCCCAGCCCCAGGTCAGGGCAGGTTCCTGGAGAAGGCAGTCCCCAGGCCTTGGGTCTCTCACATGGACTCAAATCAGGAGTTCCCCTCAGCACTGCCCCTGGGACCCTGAGCTCCTCCCTCAGACCAGCTGCCTATCCCCATGACCCCCACATATGTGGCTGCTTAGAAGTCCTGCCCAGCCACGAGACTTCTAGATAGGGCAAATACCCATGATGGGAGACAGAACAGCCAGGAAGGGCAAGTGTAAACTGTCTTCAGAGGCACCCCCTCCCCCAGTGACTCACTGGTACCTACTGACCAGGGCTTGGCATCGGGGAACAAAACCCCATGCATTGGAGGTACAGCTGGAAAGGCTGCAGGCCTGAGAGTCACCCCAGTTCCACACAGGCAGAAGTCAGACGGCCCAGCTGTTGCTAGACTCTGGGCACAGGAAAGGCAGCCCCTTCAGCAACAGTGCCAACCATTTCAGGGTCAGGGGTCACCTGGCCCAACTGTGACAACGGGCTCTGGGGTTTACCAAGCGGGGAGGAGGGTCTCTCCAGCAGTTCTGACACTCTCCCCAGGGCTTGGCTCTGGTCCATACTCAGCATCTCACAGCATGGGGGGTCCTGCACTCTGAAAGAGTATAAGACGTTAAGAAGGAGCTCAGAGCACCGTGGAGCAGAAGAATCAAGTAACCCCCATTCTTCCCAGTGTCGAGAGTCTGCTGACCAGATCACCCTGTGCAAGACTGTCCCAGCAGACTCTCAAGGGACCATCGTAAAGACTCTCTGAGCATGAACAGTGACGTCAAAGGTGTGTGAGGGGCGAAGTACTATTATGAAGCTGAATACTATTGTTCAGACGTAGCTCAGAGCCCAAGGGTGGGCCGCGGGGACACTAACCGAGCCGCACCGGATGCTTTTGCTATCCCGGAGTCCGGCTTGCTATCTGCACTCTGATCGGCCAGGGTCACCTGCACGACATCCCCCTGCCACAGGTGCCACATCTCCTGGGAAGGCTGAGGAACCTGGAGTTTAAATACACACAAACCAGCCAGAAGCTCCGGGGGGGGGGGGGGGGGGGGGGGGGGGGGGGGGGGGGGGGGGGGGGGGGGGGGGGGAGACGCAGTGAAGAAGCTGTTGCCCTCAGCCCAGCCTCCCCATCACATACCCAGGGATGCCCAGGGAGCCCCTTGAGTTTGGCCTGGGCCCAGAACAGGGAAAGGAGGTACAGGGACTGAGCTTCACTCCTCAAACACCTCCCCGCTCTTGAGTTAGGCTGTATCCACCCAGGGGCTTGGCCACAGCGCCCCACGTCATCAGAACAGGCATGACAGATGGACATGGGACAAGAATCAGGCAGCAGTCATGGGATCAAAGGGTAGAAGTCTAAGTTAAGTGTTTTTGGCCAGAATTGGGCATCTGGAGACCCTGAAACTCTCAACACTGGCATCACATATGGGCAACTAATCAATCAACAGTATTGGGAAGAGACAGTGGACACTTGCCCCTCTCAGGAGAATACTAGCTGGTACGGTTTGAATGTATCCTGGGGGTGTGGCATGTGTGGCCACTTTGGCGAAGGAGGCAAGGAAAACGCGGCCCCTGAACAAGGACATCACATAGTAGATACACTGACAAGGCTCACCTGCTTATAACTCACAGAGAGCTGCTCCCAGCCAGGAGCCATACTGTGGGCAAGCTGAAGGAAGTACACAGTCATCTCCAGGACGGAGGCCATGTCCTCCCGCCGGCCATCAAACTGAGGCAGCAGAGCCCGCAGGCGCTCACAGCTCAAGGAGATCCGCCTCCTGCTTCCAGACAAGCATAAAAGGTTTAGCCTTCACCAGAAGGGGAAAGAGCCTCTGGGAGTTATCACTGAGCAGCCCCCAAGGCCTCCTGAGCAGCAGGGTCAGCCCTCCAGCAGCCTGAGCCTTTGGGACTGTGACACACAGTAACTCTAAAATGAGGGCACAGTCCTGAGGCAGCTCTGTTCTGGAATGTGCAGGGGTGAATCCAAGCCAGGAGTCCAGCCTCTAGAGGAACCTGAATACACTAGTCTGTGGACCACCAGAGCTTCAGACCAAAGTCGCGGTAGTGACGCCCCTGCCCTCCCTCCTTCCACGAGGCTGAGTTTACCTGGGGATCTGGTGTTAATCCCGGTTGGTCCAGATGGGTAGCACTTGGTTAAGCCACAGCCCTAAACTCCTCCACCCCTTTCTGTGAAGCACTGTCCATCCCGAGGCTGCCCTCACCTGCGTTCTCTCTCGCTGATCACATTCCTCCGAAGGCAGGAGCCACAATTTGCTGCAGCCACAGGAACCGCGCGGGGGCCTGAGCCCTGGGAGGGAGTCGGTAAGCTGTCCCGGGTCTCAGGCTGAGGAGTCTTGCTACAGAGAACAGAGCCAAGACCACCTGTGAATCCCACCAAAAGCCGCCGGCGCCCCACATGCAGAACCAAGGCATCTGGGGTGGACGTCTGAAAGGAAGTGGCGGCCAGGCCCGGGGTCATCAAGGAACACCACCTGGCCAGCTCATGACCCCTCCCCCAGCCCTCCACGCCAAGATGGGGCGCTCTGCCGGGCTGTGCCAGGCAGGGTGAAGACAGTAAGTAGCCCCTGGGCAAAGCAAGGCCTTGGGGCCCGACTCTCTCAGAGCCCGTCTGTCCACGCTTTACCTGCATCCCGTGATGCCGGAGACGCCACAGTCCTCGGAGGTCCGCTCCTGGCCGCTGGACGCCATTGGCACGAAGTTGGAGGGAAGGAGGCAACACCCTGGAAGCCACAGATAGCCCCCGAGCTCTGCCCGCCAGCCCCCCCCTCTCGCCCACACTCTGCCCCCCCTCAGGAGCGCCGCCGCATCCACCCAGCACCCGGAGGCCCACTCTCACGCACGCAAGCGGCTCGCCACCCCCCACGCCTCACGCCTGCCCACCTCGTGCCGGGCTTGCCCCGCCCTCCTCGTGCTTGACTCTCTGCTTCACGCGCTGGCCTTCAGACCACATGACCTGACTACTACGGCCCACGGGATGGTTTGCAGCCCGGGTTCGGGCCCCTTTGCCAGAAAGTAGCAAAATGGTTCCACCCTCAGGTCTCTAGTGGATTTCTAGGGGCGTGGCCTGCCAGGCGCCCAGGGCTCCTCTTGTGCTTTTGCCAAGCGCCGGTTCCTTCCCACTCGAGGTAACTCTGTGCCTACAGCTCTTTGGAGTGGCCTCCAGGGCTATTTGGAGTCCAGCCCCGCCTTCAGGAAGCTCACAACCTAGTTGGGAGAGGGAGGTTGATCCACTGTGTAGGTGACACCTATGGGATCCTGGCCAGTTTCAGGTCTATAGGGTGTCCAGGCATGCCCTCCCAGATTGTTCCTTTGAGCAGGTGTTCTTCCCAAGTGCACAGTTATCACCCATGCTACAGGATCACCAGAACCAGGCAGCACCTGCCCTCCCTGACTCATCTGGCCTGCCACCCCCTACCTAAAGTGACTGGCTCTACTTACCAGCAAACAACAGAGCTGCCATCATTTAGGCTACATGAACCCCAGGTCCTGCCTCCGCAGCCAGACGTGCCAGCCACCTGCATTCTTGGTCTGGGCCAGTACCAAGGTTTGGAGACCCCCATCTGGAACTGGTGGTCAAAAGCTCCATCCTAGCCTGCGAGAGTCCCTCGACAAATATTCCTTGGGTGGCTGGAGGACGGAAGGGAGGGATGGGAAAGCCTGAAGGGATGGGTAGTGGTAAGAGATGGGTGCTGGGGATGCGGGCATTCCAGCGGGACTTCTGCTGGGGATGGTTGATGCACATCACCGCACCTCTCCTGGGGACCTGCAAAGAATAGACAGGTAGCACCACAGAGGAAAGGGCGTTGCCACACAGTGGGACCTCTGGCCTCTGCTTCCAGTTGGGGTCCTGGGTGGAGCCATGGGGGATGGGGATGGGGGTCAGCTGGAGAAAGATGTCACTAGAAAGATGTAGGAGGAACAGTCTTGTTCCTCTCCTCATCCTCGCTCTGCCCAGGCACCAGAACAACAACATTGGTTGGCCCAGCCAGGCCTGCAGGATGACGGGCGAGGAGAACCAGGGGTACTGCTGGCATGGGCTCATGAGCTCAGGCCACCTTGGCAGAGAGGCAAAGCCTTAAGGGGACTAAAGAAAGTTACTGATTTTGGGGTGAGGTGTGGAGCCAGAGCCAGGGGCCTACTCTTTGCACTGGAGGCTCGGGACTTAAACCTCTGAGGCTGTAAGCCAGCCCCAATTAAATGCTTTCTCTTCTAAGAGTTGCCTTGGCCATGGCGTCTCTTCATAGCAATAGAACACTGACTGAAACAGGACCTTCGGAGAGATTTGAAGCGTGTAAGGTCAGTGGCCGGCATACTGTGGACCCTCCAGTATACTGACTGGGCCCCCACTAAGAGACTGGAGAAAGGATGAATGGAAGCGGGCTTAACTCCTACCCATCTTCTAGTATTGTGTTTCGTCTCTCCTGCCCCCACTCCTGATTGCCACAATGTTGGTTTGGTAAGGGCTATTAAAAACACTGGGCAACAAAGGCTCCTGGGACCCACAAGGCCCATATTCAAGGTTTCAGGGTCCCTTGTGAATACCAAGTGTTGTCCTGCATCACTCGGCTGTGGCATCTGAGGGTGGTACTGCACCCACTCCACTACTTGTTGAAAGGTGCCCATGTGACTGAGGGCTGGGCAGAAGTCTCTGTGTTACCCGGAGTCTAGCAGCTTCCTGGCAGTGGTGCCCTAGCTAGGGCACGGGGGCTGTAGGTGCAGGCCTCTACCCAACTGAGCACTGTTGGAGGAAGAAGGGAAAAGCTGGCAGGACACAGTAGCAGCGTGGTACCATCGATGCTTGCCCAGTTTAAATGCGGAGGCCCTTTTCCTTCCCGGTGTCCCACATAAGCCTGAGTCACCCAAGTTAGGGCACATGGCCCTGGGGCACGATTAGGGTTTCCAGATGTTAAGGGTCTTCTTTCTGGCTTTCGGGGTAAGGAGGCTTTTCAAATCCAGTGACGAAATGAGCAGGCCCCAGCAAAGATGTACATGGGACCTAGAATCAAGACACCCTTTCCCGTCTCAGCTTGAACCAGACACTGACGCCGTAGGGTGTGATCAGCAGGGGGCGCGCGCGGACAGGCGCCTGAACCAAGACTACGGGATTTGTTGTTGTTGTTGCTCCCGCCCCCCCCCCCCCCCCCCAAATCTTGGAAGAAAAAAGACTAAGTGTTTCGGGGCAAAGCGAAGAAAGGCGATTGTGGTTTCCGACTCGTCTGTCTCACCGCCGATTCACATGCCATTTGACGACGGGCGCGCAGCCGGGGAAGCATCTGCTGAGAGGCATGCAGTGAGGGCTTCACCCACCCGACCTTCTTTGACGACGGCTGATAAGCCCCCAGGTACGGACTGCTGCACTCCGCCCCACGGGAGTTAGCACCCTCCCGTGGGAATTCCCCGGGTCCCCTGGGAAATTCATCCTCCGGGACTCCACCTCCTATCCCCGTGTGCCAGGCCTCTCATCCTCAGGATCCTCCGTGGCAGCCCTCGGGGAGGAGCGTTTGTTTGTTTGGACCGGCCTGCTGGCGCCACAGGGGTGCGCTGGATGCAATAACGGCCTGAACACAGCCATTTCTAAGTCCAGAACTCAGACTGTACAGGCATGGGTGCGGGGAGGGTGGGGGGAGAGGAAAATGTGAGGTGCAGAGAGCGCTCAGTTGCAGACATGGGAAGGGATGCGATGCATCCCACAAGATGCTTCGCCTGAGAGTAGCAGCACTGGGACCAGAAGTATACCACACAGAAGAGGATTCTCCAGGGCAGCCCCTTCCAGGCAGAGCCCCTGGGATGAGGGTGAGCATGAGCTGCCAGAAGATGTCAGTGGTAGTTCTCTGCTGGTCACTTCTTTGCAGTTGAGGAAAGGTTTCCAGCAACCTGGGAGCCTGCCCTTCTAGACAGCAGGAACACATAGCTCCCACCTACCCAAGTGACCACGTGCACAGCACTGGTGGAGGGGTGCAGGGTCAACAACAGCACATTGATGACATTGACCCTGGTCCTGGTCCTCCCTGTCCCCCCCCCTTTCCTCTGGGTACAGCTTAGGCTCTGCTTTTCTGAGGCCAAGCACACCGACAGGCAGACAGAAGATGCCCACTGCTGATGGGGGACCCAGTTTCCCCTGTGTAAAATGAGAGGTGAAACAGCTGGCCTTGGAGGACCATTTGGGGTGAAGTCCAGGTCTTCAGCTGGGGCTTCAAGGGCCAGGGACACTCCTAGAAGTACTGGGGGAGGCAATGCGTGGCTGGGAGCAAATGCGCTGAAAGCAGCCAGTGTCCTTGGGAAGCAGACAACATCTGGCTCTCCCTGGCTTCTCTGGAGTCAATCAAGTAGGGCCTCTCAGGAGGGCTCTCGGTGACCTTGCTGTTCTGGGACCTTCTGCCACTTACCTCCATGACATGGTGTCACCCTCCTAGGCATTCAACCTGTCACACTTTACGGCCTGATCCAGTCCAAGCACAAACACTGTGTCCTTGAGGTCTGGGCTTCAGCTCCAGGACTAATGGCATCTTCCACCTGGCACTGTCCACAACTCCTCTGTCCCACCCCCATCTGAGCCTGGCCTCTGTCCCAGGGGAGACTCGCTCTCAAACCTGCAGGTGAAGCTGCTGCCAGGACTGGATTGCTGGTGTTAGGCAGGCAGGCGGCATGAGGTAGGTAAGGAGAGGTGAGCCTGGGTGATGCCGAAGCTGGCAGTTAACAGTGGCCTCAGCAGAGGCCTTGAGATGGGAGGTCTGTGGGCAGATTCCTGTACCAGGACTCACAGGCAGGTAGAGTGGAGCAGCCCTGCCTTGGGTGTGTCTCTGTTTTATAGGTGCTGGGAAATGTGAGCCACCGTGCTATCGTCAAGGGAGTCCGAGCCTTGAGACATCCACCCCCAGTATCTGTCAGCTCCTGTCCACCAGCCCTGTGCCAATGCTGCTCAGACACCAGACTCCATAGCTGAAAAGTAGGGGTCCAGAGAGGAGCTCTTGGCCCTCTTGATGGCAGCTCTATACCTGAGCACCACAGTCCCTGACCCTTCCTTTCTATTGCCTCTCTGCCTCATCTCAAGGCCTTTGCCGTGTGGGCCAGGTCCCAGTGACCTCAGGGTCACTAGACATTGTCCTCTTCTGACATGCCCCTTTTGTGATTCAGGATTCTCTGCCCCAGGTGACAGATACTATGGCAGAGGGAGGGGCCCCGACATTGCTGTCTTTCCTGCCCCCTTTGGTTTTTCGAGATAGACTTTTTCTTTCTCTGTGTAGTCCTGGAACTCGCGCTGTAGACCTGGCTGGTCTCGAACTCACAGAGATCCACCTTCCTCTGCCTTCTGAGTGCTGGGACTAAAGGTGTGTTCCACCATCACCCAGCCAGTCTTAGAGCCAGAGAGTTCCTCTCTGCCATTCCAGTGCACCTCCCAAGAGCTGGGACCTTTCCTGGAACTGTGTGTTCTGAACAGCCTGGATCCCAGCCAAACTGGGACCCTCTGGGCCCTGAGGACTAAAGGCGCAGGACTTGAATCTGGCCTCCAGCCAGTGTACGTGCCTGGCTAGCCCTCTGGGTCTGTAATTAGGAAGTGGTGCCTCCAGGGCAGCAGGAAGTGGCCCAGGCCCCGTGGGAAAGATTCGCAAGGGCCCACATACTGCTCTGGTTGGCAAGAGGGACAGCCAGACAGCTCTGCAGCTGGAGCTGTGGGGAGCTCAGGATGC